GATTCAGTAGAGCACGCGGCAATAAGGCGCCCGTGACAGGTGCTTATGAACCTTCATGTCAGAGTCGTGGTTGGGAAGTGCCCACTGTCACATGGATCGGACGTGTTTCTGTTGCGATCCTCCAGACAGTTGGCCCTAAACCCTGAACCCTAAACCCTAAACCCTAAACCCCTAAACCCTAAACCCTAAACCCTAAACCGAACCGGCGCAGTCACATGGATTCGGCATGTTTGGATCCGAGCATGCCCAGGGCTGATACTGCCGGGATCATCGGACGTACAGAAGTGGGTAGTGCTCTGAATTGGGGTCCTGTTTAGGTCCCAAACTGTGTGAACTTGACGTACTGCACCTATCAGTTCTAAAATAGTACAGCCGGGATCATTGTAGATGTGGGGGCATGAACTCCTCGCACTGCGCTTTTGGTTGTATTGTCGAACAGTGGTGATGATGTGCCAGTTCGAGACCATAAAAGCTGAGAAGACAGAAGTACCTAAGGCTTTAGTGATAGGAGTCAGTTAGGTAGGAATCTTAAGCTGTGGCGAGCTGCAATAGATTGACTAGATTTACAGAGGTTAAAGGAGTTTAGTGTGGACACACGTGGACACTGAAGGTTATAGGGGCCTGAATATCCATGCCTGGCAGGGACCGGACAAAGTCATGCAAGGAATTGCGTCATGATGCCGGGATTGAAACAGAGATCTTTCTGAGGTCCGGGTTTGTGGGGTTTACGTGGTTGTTGCTGTCGTTTTCGTTCTTATGTTTGGATCTCAGCTCATCTGCCAAACACCACTGCAGGCTGCGCATACACAATTCCACTACTTTGAGCAATCTAGGCGAATCTAGGCCTTTCTCTTCGAATTTGCCCGTGTTAATCAGGGGGAAGGTCGATTTTTGCAATGGGCTGATGCCTCATCCGCTGGACCTTGGCCTGAACCTGGGCGTGAGCAAGAAGAAGAAGAGCAAAGGGAAGGGCGATGTAGTGGTGGCCACTCCGTGGCATATATCTGCTGGTGACCGAGACACCAAGACCTCTCTGGCCGCGACTGGCAGCGACTCGGTCGACGATGCTGCAGGCCCTTCGGTTTGGCTGGAGTCGCGGAGGACGAATTTCTTCGAAGAGTTGAAGGTGCAGCTGCGACGTGAGTGCACTTCAGAAGGACAGAGTCGATACCCCAGCATGGCCTTTGAACGTTGGTGGCTCTCTGCCAAAGATCTCAGTTCCGGCGGCGATCCGCTGCTTCCGACTCCGAAGGTGGCAGAGGACCCGGCACTCGTTTCGGACTTGGAGCGATCTGGATTCTCCGGGAAGGCCGCTTCCGAAATCGCAAGGCGGCTTGCATCCTCGTCGGAGGCAGCGGCCGCTTCCATCCAACAGCCGGCAACGGCAAAGAAGTCCAGCATGGAGGTGGTCGAGATGCAGCGATCTGAAGAAGGCGATGAGGTGTTGTTGGTGTGCAAATCCGCAGGAGCCAGGGTGCGCGTTTCAGGATTCGCATACAAGAAGCTGAAGAAGTTGTACGAGTTCCACGGAGTGCAGAGTTGCCCTTTCGAAAAGGCTGTCATGGTCCTTGGAATGCGATACCTGGCATTGGGTGGCACTGGCTTCCAGTTGGCCTTGCCTTCAGCGGCCTGGGGAGTTCTGCAGGAGGACTTCGCTGTGCAGGTCGGATGACTGAGAGCAGCTGATAGTATAGTATAGTGTGTTTTTAGTACAGTATAGTATAGTATAGCATAGTGTAGTATAGTGTAGTTTCATGTAGTGTGGCCTATTACAGTATAGTATGTTACAGGTAAGTATGATATAGTATACTGTCGAATATTTTGTAGCATTTTCTAGTATAGTACATGTATATTATGGTATACTATAGTATATTACTTGCATATGAGAACCAGGCCGAATGCTTCGCATCGCCACTGAACTGCTGGTGCGAACCTTGCGTGGCACATGACGCTACATTGAACACTCCACTGTCCAGCTTTGGAACCAGGTTCCCAAACTACTGCAGTGCTTTTCCAGACTGCCTGAGGCCAAGTGCTTCACACGTAGTTTTCGTGAGGTGATGTGAGGTGAGGGGCATGCTGTCTATTTTCAACCTGAAACTAGCTTTGCTGCTCAAACAGCGCGGGTTGGAATCATCTCAAAGCGCCGCAATGGCGCCACCCTCAGGAACATGTCGAACACAGCTTTCGCGTCCATCGTATGTTTGCGCTCGTGTAAGGACTTGCCCAGACAGTGGAGGCGCGTGCTGCGCCGTGCGCACCCCAAGCTCGGGGTGCTCACACTGCCTCGAGCTCAGGGTTCCAGTACCGCCAGCACCGCAGGCAGAAGGAAGCCTTGATCCTGCGAGGCTTGCTTGCGCCGTGGTGGCTGGCACTGCCTTCGCTTCAGGCGCTGGCTGTGCAGAGCTGTTTTCGGAGCCTTCTGCCCTCGGCCCTCGCCGCTCTTCAGGTTTCCACAGCTCTTCGCGGGGCCGAGGGCCCGTCCTGCGGGCCTTTCCTTGGGACCAGGAGGGCAACGCAAAGGCCTGGGCCCCTGAGCCCGCTGAAAAAAGTTCAGCTCATGCATTTTATGATGTGGAGATTCTTCGTTGCTAGGCAGACAGAGCTTATGCCTCCTTGGCAGAGAAGTATCCGGAAGTTGCCGAGTCCGGCACCTTCATGGATGAAGCTGCCGGCACCTTGCAGCAAGAAAGTCAATCTCTAAACTGACTTTGTCTGCTGCTTTGGCTGCAAACTTGTGTGGCAAAGCAGGTAAAGATGTCATCGTCGGTCGCTATGATCCTTGGCAGCATCATGCAGGGGCCGTGCTTGGACTCGACGCAAACTCTGCTCCCTGCAGCAGTCATGCCGAAGCTAACTTGGACACAACATGGCTTGCATTGCCACGCACCAGTCATGAGTTGCACCCAGGAGAAGCTGGGTCAGTTCCTAGGCTCGGACGTAGCCCTGACAATGGTCGAGAAAGACCCCATCTTGCTGCTGGGCGTCGCGGGCTCATTGTGGAGGGAGTGGAGTCCTGGTGTCGTTTCAAGGTGACGTCGCTTAGAGTCTTAGAGTCGAGACACGCCTTGTGGAGTTGAGGATACCGACATGCAGCAGCGCTCGTTCCAGTACTTGACTAGCTTGGAGGATGACTCCAAGAAAGGCTTGGCCCTGGAGGCGGTCCAGAAAAACCCTCGCTTGCTGACGGTGCCGATTTACGAGTACGAGCGGACCAAGCCTTCCTTGGCACCTTGCAGAAATGCCTTGAAACGCAACAGTGCCAGTGTTCTTCGAAGTTGACACTGTGAAGAGCACCGAAAGAAGGGTAGGACCGGGTAGGATGAGCTCAGGATGGGCTGAATACCGCCGCTTCCGCCATTGATTTCCTGCGGCCGCTGGGCGAAGTGGGCCTGGCCGTGGCAATTTTTTCCTCCTTTGTGGTGCTGATCCTGGTTCTGAGGCCGGAATCGTTCAACGTGTCACAGCGAGTGATTGTAGTCCCGTTCTCTATGTGACGGCATTACGTCTTTGTGCGCTGCAATGCGCGATCAAGTTTACAAGCCAGGCCTGTGTTCTATGGAGTGGGTGGTGGGCCGTGCCGCCCCAAGCTTTGGCAACGCCGGTCCATCACTTCTGGCTGCTGGCCAACACACATGTTGAGATACCAGGTCTCTCATCGGCATGCTCACCAGCGGACTGCCTCAGATCCCTCGCCCTTGGGAAATCGCACAGAGCTATGGCATCAATCTGGCGAGCACCTGGCTTTGAATCGCATGCACATCAATCCTAAACCCTAAACCCTGAACCCCAAAACCCCGAAACCCTAAACCCTAAACCCCAAACCCTAAACCCTGAACCCTAAACCCAGTCCAGGGACTGCCGCCACCTCGTCGTTTCAGGTATCGTGGCCCTGATTCCCATCTACCAGGTCATCAGTGCTATTCGAAGGCAGCTTCAGTGAGAGGCTCACCACACCGGACGTTTTAAGCTGCTGCCCTGTGCCATGAGCCACAAAGGGGCCAGGCTGAACGAAATGTTTAATTCCTCTTGGATCTGCGGATCCTGGCGAACGCCATCCGTCCATTTCGACCCTGTGGTCTTACTAGCGAGCACAGAACCAACCATGCTTTGCAGTTTGATCCCAGGTCGGAGTAGCGATCTCAGTAGGATGCTTCCTGAGCCGAACTCAGGCGACAGATGCTTCGGTTCGATGGGGAGCTTCTCGTCATTCAAACCACGCCGGCTCGGCAGCATTTTGTTGTTCTCCGTCTAGGTACACAGTGCTGCACCATGCATCTGATGTCCCCTGCTCTGCCCGAGGCCGGGGATGCTTTGAAGCAAACCCCCCCTTCGCACCAGCTGTGATCGCGGGAATGAAGAAACACATGCCCGGTGCTCAGTGGGAACTGGCCGCGCGACGTGAGACCTTGTAGATAGTATAGTATTGTATAGTATTGTATAGTCTTGTATAGTAGTACTATTGTATAGTATTATTGTATAGTACTGTATAGTATTGTATAGTATTATTGTATAGTATTGCATAGTATTGTATAGGATTGTATAGTATTGCACAGCACTGCACAGCATTATTGTATAGTATTCTTGTATAGTCTATAGTAGGAAGCGACATGAGGCACAGCCTCTTGGCGGCGACCGAGGAGCCGCTGAGCTTCGTCATTGCCCGTCGCCCCAGTTCCTTGCGAGCTCCGGAGTGAACCCTTCTAGGGTTTAGGGTTTAGGGTTTAGGGTTTAGTGTGAACCCTAAACCCTAGACCCCACATAAACCCTAAACCCTAAAGCTCCGAAATCCTAAACCCTCCATAAACCCTATAAACCCCAGAGCCCCGAAATCCTAAACCCTAAGACCCTAAACCCCCAAGACCCCGAAACCCTACGTCCGAAACCATAAAATCCCGAACCCTAAGGCCATCGCAAGTTGGGAGAATCCCGAGGCCTGGGAAGAGAAAGAGAGCGTATGAGGGCTGCTATAAAACCAGTCAGACTTGCTGGGAGGGTCTCTATTAGGGTTACAATTATACAATCATACTATCATACCATAAATGCTACAAGACGTGCTAGAATAAGGTTAACCATTATATGGGTAGTTGTCAAAATTGTGGTCCCTTTTGGGGTACCCTAAATAATAGGTGCCGTATTATAATAAGGACCCAAAAAGGGACCATAATTTTGACAACCACCGATATCTCAATTCCTCGGCTGTGTTTGTACGGTTCCAGGTCGCTGCTTTGAGAAAGTCTCCTTTTGCGCGTGGCCACATCGTGGTGCCCAGGGACGAACAGGCTTGCGCCTTGGGTTCTTAGTTTGGTTTTTGGGGAAAGCTTCTCGAGAGTCACTAACTCCCCTGATCCTTGAAGTAGGCCCTTAACCAACCTCAACACTAAAAAAAACCGTCCTAAGCCATGCAAGCCCTACGCCCCTACACTCTGGATTGAGAGTTCCAGCTGGTGAGCACAAGGTGTGGCTAGATGGCCTGCAGAGCCGCCGGGTGCCGCTCGGAGATTTTTGGGCTTGCACCGCGTTTCTCCAGCACTTCCGAGCGAGGCTCCCGTGGAGCTTCTGATTGTGGTCTTACAGAACGATGCCGCTGCCTCTGACCAGAAGATGATGATCTCGCCGGGGCCTTGGCTGATGTGGTTAATCAAAGCTGAAGCACATGGACCGCCAGCAGTGCATGGTCTCTCTCGGTCCATGTCACGTTTGCTCTTTTCAGTCCGAGGCGGGAGAAGCTGGAGCGGCATTCGCCTCGGTGTCACGCACGTTGTGAATCGAGCCTTGAGTCGTAGAAGCAGTGTGAGAGGTTGCGTGAAAGCTGCACAGGAGAGGCCTGCTCCGGACTTTTGTCTTCGAATCTGCCTCCCTGTGATTTTCATGAGATCTACACAGGCCAAGCCTCTGGGCCCCAGGAAAAGGCGGGTGAAGTTGTCGCGCCATAGCGACCCGGTCGCCAAAGTGCAATGATTAGCAACCTGTCGCAAAGTGCCGCAGGCCTCGCCCGGACACTTCGGTTGAGACTGCTCAGGAAAGCTCAGAATTCGGGGTGACAGGGCGGCTGGGTTCCTTGCCAGCTTGTTGCAAGGCAGCAGCCGATGGACAGGGCGAAACGCTTGATGCAGGCTCGGGTGCATTCGCATCGGTATCCGTGTCAGTGTCACGTGAAGGCTAAGGCAAACACTCTTTCTAAACGCAGCACCGGTTCATCGAGATAGAAGAGGAAAAGCCACGCGAATCATGGAGGTGAGTGACATCAGTCCTCCAAAGCAGCATTCATGCGGGCTGTCTGTACTGTGCCATTAAGTTGCAGTAGTTCAATACTTGTGTCTTCTTGATGGGTGTTCGTAGTCTGCGTGGCTGTTAACCGTTGCTTTGTCATTGGTTGTATGTTTTACGTGGTTGCTGTTTCAGTATCTCGCGGTAGTTCCTTTCTGACAAAAGTGAATGAAAATACAGCCCAGTAGCGTCTCATGCTCTTAACTTGCAGCCCAGACGTCGGGAAGTCCATGCTGAAATGGGGCTAATCATGACCAATCTTAGCTTCTGCCTGCTTCTCGCCGTGCAGAAGCATGAGCAGGCCGGGCTCGAGCGATCTCAATTCGACCAGGCGGGCTTCGCTGTGTGATGTCTTCACGGCATGCTCGAGATCAAACAAAGAGTGTGGCCACCCTGGATCAGATATAAGATGCATGTCCCCGCTTGAGTCACGGGTCGCCTCTCCAAAGCAAGGCAGCACAAAGGCTTCCCTGCAGTTGCCACACCATCACCCAGACGAAGTCGGAACCTTGACAAAGCCCATTGGCTCCTGTATTTTGGGTGAGCTGTGTTCTGCACGCAACCAAGCAACCGGAACGAACCACCCTGTCAACGTGCGAGGCTGTGCCACCCCTTGCTCTAGAAAAGGCACTTGCTTTGCAAGTTCTTTGGGTTGATTTGGGTCGTTCAGGCGGAGTGCTGTGGCGTGTGCCTCATTGGCAGCTTGTCAAGCTGAAGCGTCGCGGGCTCTGCGATATGGACACATAGGGGGGTGCTGTGTTGCAAGACTCTGAAACCGATGCCCTAAGCCCAAAACTGAATCCGAGGCTTTTGCGCGTGGTTTCGCCTGAGATCAGCTGCAAAGTCGTTCGGCTGGACCTCAAGCGTGACAGCTGGGCGCTGACGATCTGTGCAGTCCCAGAGAGCCCAACACTCCTTAACTGAGTAACACGACGGAATATACCTTAAATCATAATATTCAGCCTTCTACAATTTATGAAGATGTACTCCTCAGCAGCCCTATAAAAGCCTCATAATACCGTTTACTGTTGCCTAAATAAAGGGGTGTGTACGGGCTCTCTGGGTCCCGTTTGGGGCTCTGGGAAGGAGATTCTGCTTGCCTGAGGATGGCTGGCACGCCCGCAACATGCGCTTCTGGCTCAAGGCCTGCATCCGAGTTTGGAACAGTACGAAAAGCCTATGATCATGCTATGCTACGGGTTTTCATACTGTAATGCTAGTATAATGCACGAATGCTACAACCCTAGTGATACTATAGTGCTATGTACGTAGGACCTTTAGGGTCTATT